ACGGATCCTCCCAACACCAGAAGCCACGTCGGCTCGCCGTCGAGGCTGGCAAGGAGCATGAGATCCTCATATGAAAACGTGTCGAAAACACAAGATTTGGGCTGAAACACCCACCCGTCTCTCATAACTCCATGCGCCGCACTAGCGACGTTCGAGGAAAGCCATGTCCCGGACCTCCAAATTGTATCCGCGATGTCTTTGTTGGTATCTTCGTGGGTGCTACACACGGGAAGGGAGTTGACGTCCAGCGTCGGAGCATCGCCTGCAATCGTGAGACTGAAAGGGCTACCCAAGATGGGAACACCCTCATCCTTTTTTGAAGACTCGACTTCATCGATATACACCAGGTAGTCCCCGGGGAAATCACTCTTGTACGTGGCGGTCAGAGTGCCGTTCTTGCTGCCGCCGTCTGCTACCTCCGCGATTAAGATCTGCAGTGTCGTGTATGAAATGTTAGAGTTTGTACACATGCAGTGGGAGTTGTATTCAATACGGTATCGTGGTCCGTTGACGAAGTTTTGTTTGCTCATCATGACGTTGAAGCAACGCTCACAGCATCATTTCTGCCAGGTAGGGGCTCCACTCTATTGTCACACAGAGGAGTTCCCTGAGTACGGGAGTACGCGAGCACGCTGTTTTGCCCGTGGTGTGTGTTTGTGGTGCCTTGGATATGAGTCCGATATATCGTATTGGAGGCGCTTTCTTATTTGTTGCTGTTTTTTTTCTGTTTCGTTTGGTACTGCATTTTCAGGTGAATTCCACGGAAGTCACAAGTGTCTGTGCGTATTCTTGTTCCTGTTGGAATTGAATGTGTGGCATGTTGTTCTTGTTGTTGTTTTTCTCCATATGAACTTGTGTCAGTTGCTAATCCCAAAATCTAGCAAAGACTCGGTCCGTGGTCACAAAAATGCTAGAGCCATCAGAAGATCTGAAGAACACACACACTAGAATAGTAGCAAGGAAAGGGTACGCAAGCCCGAGGAGGTACACCTGCATTCCCTGCAGCACGTTTGCGTGCTCACAACTGAACTACACGCCCACACACTTACAAATCGACTACAGCAGCAGCATCACCCCCCTTGTCCCGCATTTAACCAAAATGAATGTTTGTCGACTACAGCGTACTGCTGTCTGAAGTGCTGTCTGTACAATAATAACACCATGGTGCATGGTACACAAGCTCGGGGCATGGAGCTGCTGCCTGAAGTGCTGTCAGAATGAGCCTGTGGACATACAATGAAGAAGAACGTCCAACCTAGTCTAAGCCATCATTGCAATTGACAATCACCCGAATATATCCAGATCATCTGTGTTAGGCACAGCAGTGTAAACATCGACCCTGACTAGGTTCCACATTGAAGGGGTCTTCCACGATGCAGGTACACAATTAAGGCACCCGGGTTATCCGCGCCATCTCTGCCGCGTCTCTCTACAAAACCAGTGACGTCATCACACACACCCAACACCTGTGTTCAAGAAAAAAACGGAAAAATAA